CTGGCTATAATTAGCTTACAGCAATGTTTATTTCCCAAACCGGTTTGACATATTTTTACAAATGGCCAATCACATGCGAGATTCAAATTCTGAACCTAATCAAGTGTGGAAGTGGGATTTGCAATCGATGTCACCCTGGGCCTTACACAGCGGAGGAGAGGGGGCGGCAGGGGACAACTGCCCCCCTAAAGAAAACTGTATTTACAATTTTTAGATTGTCATTGTTAATTATTCTTTGCATATTTGGGACTTTTTTCAACATATAAGCCTTACTGCCCCCTTGGTGATACGGCCCTGATGTGACCAGAGGCTCTCCGTTCTCACATCTTGTTTCTTTCACCTTGCAAAGAGCCTCTGGAACCAGGGTACTCTTAAAGTAACACACAGACAAAGCAAATAATATAATGCTTTTAAAAATCTTCAATTTCAAAAGAGGCAGTAAATTGGTAGGGAAATCTTTCAATAATATCCTGTGGTTATGGTAAACTATGTACCGGTACCAGACAATATAAATCCCTGCCTGCTCAAATCTAGGAAGTGTGGGGGCCATTGGGCAAAGCAGGGTCACTGAAGGCCTGTTTATATGATCCTGCCTAGACGGGATGTTTTCATCCCGCCTAGATGGGAAATTCGCCTAGTGTTTATATGGACAAAATACATTGCCTGGATGAAGCCATTTAAGTGAGCTTGACGTCATATTTTTGTTGCAATAAAGGCATTTACGCATGCTCAAAAGGGAAAAGTTCATACCACCTAGCTGGGATGAAGTGTTTATATGGGAATTTTTCGTTCCAGCTAGGCGGGATGAAGTGTTTGTATGGGAATTTTTCATCTCGTTTAGGCGGGATCCTGGCATCTGTTGCCGAGATCCTGCCTAGGCGGGATAAGTGGCAGGATCATATAAACACTCTTTAGAATTTGTATTATGAGCGGGATCTCGGTAAGCACCTCGTCCGCCTGGCCGGGATCATACATATAAACAGGCCCTGAGACAAAACCAGATATTTACACATTCCAGCAATTTTGATTATGCAGTGCTGACTGCTGAGAAGTAAAAACTGCCAACTTCTGGGTTGGGGGAGGTGGTAATTTACATTGACTGGTATTGTACACTAAATAGTTATGGGGTGCTATGGCTGCCAGTTCTGTTGTCTTTAAAAGGACTGCTAATTCTAAACTGCAGTGATTCAAAACATTGTCCCAGCATGTTCTAGAGATTAATATGAGTACATACTCATATTTTGGAACAATTTCCAAGGACAAACTGACTATAAAGATCTGTATAAATTTCCATCATAGAAAATGCAATTCACCTGCCTGCAAAAAGGTTAATCCACTTGGAACGTTTTCCGTGGTTGTGGACATTCATTCCACATCGAATGCATCCTGTCCAACATCAGCGATTGCCCAGTTTGTCAAGCAACAACGTTGGCAAATGTTGAAGCTCTTGGAAGGCCTTGGAAAGACAGCAAATATTAACGCTGTTTGCCTCGGCGACTCGCTTTAGAGAGGACGAAAGCGACGAAGAAATTGAGGCAGCCGATGACGATGAACCAGAAGACGAACAGAACGAAACCCTCGTGAACAGTTTGTTAGCAAAAATAAGCATTTCGCGAAGGTCTGACAATCGCCATTTTGCCAACCGGATATGTACAGTAATGAGTGTGTATGAGTCATGCGATACTGTCCTGGATCGTTGTGACGCATTTCCGATGCGAGATGAGATGATATAGGTAATATTTAAAAATATTTCGGCTGTGGTGTGGGGAAAATAAGTTTAAACTGCCAAATCTACCAATTTTTTTTATGTGTGTGTTAAGATAGTGCAAGTGAGAGTATGCTATTTTACGCGCGTTAAAACACTGTTATTCAAACATAAATATTTCGCAGTCTAGATCGAATTTAAAAAATCCCCCCGAGGAAATTAAAGAAGAAAGCATGCTTTATCAGAATTTCTCAGTTTTGGAGTAAAAAGTTTAATATCGAATGTCACGGAGGGCGTAGAACAAGGTGTTATTTTCTCACTCCTTTTGTTTATATGTTTCGAATTTCAAGCATTCTGATTGGTCAAGGACGCAAAATGTAAAAAAACGCGCTGATTGGCTAACATTATTTGCCCTTGTTATACACAATATATATATACACTATATACTCTTGGACATTCACTCAAACACACACTATATACACTTTATACACTTTTGACTATATATACTGATAATATACGTATATTGTGTATATAGCTATATACACTTTATACACAATATACACTATATACTCTTGGACATTCACTCAAACACTCACTATACAGTATAATATACACTTTATACACTTTTGACTATACATTGTCTATTGCCACTATTTATATAGGCTGCAGAATATACACAATATATCCTACATGTCTAAGTGTATACATATACGCAATATACAGACTATTCTGTATATATATATATATATATATATATATATATATATATATATATATATATATATATATATATATATATATATATATATATATATATATATATAAATATATATATATATATATATATATATATATATAAATATATATATATAAATATATATATATAAATAAATATATATATATATATAAATAAATATATATAAATAAATAAATAAGCCTGATACAAACCTTAACAAAAGTCCATGCCGTACAACCGTATTTCGGTTGTAAATCTGATTGGTCTATGTGGTAAAAGTTTTTTTAATCTGTCATTTGATTGGTTGGTGCTAATTAGATTATACTATTGTTGTTGATATATTTTATAGTGATCACAACTATAATTAAGGCCGGCGCACACTACAGTAGAGCTATGTGCTTAGCAAAATGTCATTCGTGACTGTTGGCGTAAGGAGATAGCTCTCGTGTGCGGGCGATTTACGAACAAATTTTGTCATTCGTGCCACTTACGCCAAATATCTAACATGTTTGATAATTTCTGCCTCGCGTGCCAAAATCTTTCCGTGTGCGGCGAACAAAAGCTATCTGCTTACGGATTGTCGTAACAGCGCATGCGTAGTATACAAAAGTAAACATCCAAGATGGCGGCGCAAAATGAATTGCTGGCCGAGGCAATTTTAGAGGACAAACTTGTCGAACTTTGGCCTGAATACAAATGTTTATACGATGTGAGTTCTGCAGATTTTAGAAATAGGGACAAAAGGAATTCGAATGTGCGGTGAAAGAAATAGCCAGTAAGTTTGTCCTCTAAAATTGCCTCGGCCAGCAATTCATTTTGCGCCGCCATCTTGGATGTTTACTTTCGTATACTACGCATGCGCTGTTACGACAATCCGTAAGCAGATAGCTTTCGTTCGCCGCACACGGAAAGATTTTGGCACGCGAGGCAGAAATTATCAAACATGTTAGATATTTGGCGTAAGTGGCATGAATGACAAAAGTCGTTCGTAAATCGCCCGCACACGAGAGCTATCTCCTTACGCCAACAGTCACGAATGACATTTTGCTAAGCACATAGCTCTAGTGTGCGCCGGCCTTTTGGTGTCCTCAAATTAAATTTTAAATCCTCCGATCGTTAAATTTGCTCGCTCGCTAGTTTACTACAAAATTAAAATGTCAGTAAAAACTCGTTCGGCTGGCCTGGTGGGGGATTCCTTTGCTGAATTTGCCAGGAATATGGACGATTATTTAAAGAATTCAAGTGTGTTTAAAGAAACCATTGCCGGTGCAGTTGTTGTGGCAGTCGAAGAGACTGTAAAGCCTTTACATACAGAAATTGCTTCCCTCAAAGACGAAGTAACACACCTTAAAGCAAAGCTTGCAAATGTAGAAGTTAAGGCAAACGACAACGAGCAATACTCCAGAAGAAACAATATACGAATTTTCGGTCTTGCCGAAGAGATTAAAGAGGATTGCTACGACAAAGTACTTAAGTTATGTGAGAATCATTTAAATATCGAAGTTAGCAGAGATGAAATCGATCGGGCGCATCGCGTTGGCCAACTAAAGCAAGTCAGCAGTGGTCAACCAAAGCCAGCCCCACGAGCTATGATAGTCAAATTGATATGTTATACCACTAAAATGAAATTTATGAAAGCCAGAATCAGGGGCAGACAAATTTATATCAATGAAGATCTGACGAAATCAAATCATCAGTTATTATTGTATACAAAAGCAAATTGCTCGTCAGATGTCAAAATCTATTCAGTTGATGGTACTGTTGTTGCGCGAACGGATCGTCGAGTTTATCGTATTAAACATAAAGAAGATCTAGTCAAGTATGGTCTGTTATATTCAAAGGATTCCAAGGTCATTGAAGTTAATGAGGATGCCGACTCGTCAAAGCGTTAAGTAACACTATTACTAATGATTTACTTTCTTAATTTTGTATTACTACTTTCAGTATTTGTGTGTATTATTACTATGGAATATTTATATATTTATGTTCGGCAGCAGGAGTTCAGTTATTCCTTTTACCTCCAGATCTGGTTAAATGGGGGTTAGTTTACAAATTTATCGGGCAGCAATTGGACTTTTTAACTGCTACAAATTCAATTATTCTACTGGTAGACTTTTTGTAAGAACTTTAAACATATATTTACATATTGGGATATTTCTTGCTCTTTTCTTTCTAATTTGTTCGGATGTTGAACAAAATCCTGGCTTTGATCGCCTAATTTCGCTAAAAATCGGTCATTTAAATGTTCGCAGTTTAAACCCGCGTAGAAATTCAACTAATAAATTCGATGAAATTGTCTCTGTAATGCTAGACGAAAATTTTAAGATTTTTGGTTATAGTGAGACATGGTTAAACGATTCCATATCCAATGATCTGTTTAATATTCCTGGCTATTGTCCCTTAATACGTTTGGATAGATCTGATGGCAGGCGAGGCGGTGGTGTTGCCTTGCACGTGTCTTCCGAATTTGTTCCAAAAAGGAGGACTGATTTAGAGTCCCTTGGGTTTGAAATTCTGTGGGTTGAAATCAAAATTAAGTCTATTTCGCTAGTATGTGCAACTTGTTATACACCTCCGTGCAATGATGTAGATGTTAATACAGCGTTTCTAAGTAACTTGCAAATTTGTTTAGATAAAATTCAATTAGAGCCGAATAAATTAATAGTTTTGCTAGGGGATTTTAATGCTCATTATGATTTCAGCAATTCTTCAGATTCAGGTGATTTTGGCTCTTCCTTATATTGCTGGATGGAATGCAATAGTTTATTTCAAGCTATAAATGAACCAATACGCATAACATCAACTGGTTCAACACGTTTAGATTTAATTATTACTAATTCTCCTGGTTATTTTGTAAGTTCAGGCACCCTAAGTCCGCCGGCAAATTGTGATCATTGTATAGTATACGCTAAATTAAGTATTCTTTTATTAAAACTTAAATGTTTTAAGCGCACAGTTTGGAATTATCAAAATATTGACGAAGCAGAATTGAACTATGCTTTGTTAAATTATGAATGGGAAAGATGTTTTACTGGTGGTGAAAATGTGAATATTATATTTAATAATTGGTTTTCAAGTTTCCAATATGTTGTTGAGGAATATATTCCCCGAAAAACAGTTGTTATTCGTCCGCACGATAAACTGTGGATGGATGGCAACGTTAGGAGAGCTATCAGAAAACGTAACCGATTATTAAAAAGGTACTCAAGACATAAAATGCCAGCATCTTGGGAAAGATATAGGATACAAAGAAATCGAACAACCAGTTTAATTCGATCAAACAAAGTTAAATATTATGCCAGTCTAAATCAGGACCTTGGTGATCCCAAAATAAGTCCTAAAAAGTGGTGGGGAATTGTCAAGTCACTTTATGGTCAAAAAATGCGTGTTGCTGTACCAACGCTTATTGAGGGTCAAAATGTAATAAGCGATGCCAGAGCTAAAGCAGAATTATTGAACGACTATTTTAGTAGTCAGAGCATGATCGACGATAGTGCTGCAATCCTTACTCACGAAATAGTTCCATTTCAGTCAGCTACTTTCTTGTCCATTATTACCACCACCGAAAGTGAAATAAATCGCTTACTTCGACGTTTGGACACAACAAAAGCTTGTGGTCCCGACGGAATCAGTAATAAAATAATTAAGGTTAGTGCAGATGGCATAACGAATGTTTTCACATGGTTGGTTAACTTATCATTGTCCTCTGGCGTTTTTCCAGAACAATGGAAGATGGCTAATGTTATTCCTTTATCCAAAACTACAGTCGATCGTCAATTGAAAATAAATTACAGACCCATATCTTTATTAGCGTCGTTATCAAAAGTAATTGAGAAAGTTGTTTTCATGAGATTTTATAATTTTTTACTTGACATAGGTTTTTTAAATCCTATGCAGTCAGGTTATCGCCCAGGTGATTCTACAGTTAATCAAATTTTATATTTAACGCATAAGATATACGAGGCTTTCGAACTAGGCAAGGAAGTAAGAGTGGTGTTTCTCGACATCAGCAAAGCCTTTGATAGAGTCTGGCATAAAGGACTGTTATACAAGCTTAAGTTAATCGGTGTAAGAGATCCTTTGCTTAGTTGGTTTGAGAGTTACTTATTGGATAGAAAGCAGCGCGTAGTCATAGATGGTCAGTTTTCGCAATGGAGGAATATCAATGCCGGAGTACCCCAGGGGTCTGTGCTCAGTCCACTATTATTTTTAGTTTATATTAACGATATAACTGAAAATCTTGAAACAAATCCCTTATTATATGCCGATGATACGTCACTATTCGATATAGTCGAGTCTCCTGATATTACTTCAGTTAAATTGAATAACGATCTTAGTAAGATTAGTGATTGGGCAAAACGCTGGCTTGTTACTTTTAACGCTAAAAAAACTGAAAGTATTATTTTTTCAGTAAAACGGTTTAAACCCCACCATGCAGATTTATTTTTTGATAATAACAAAATTGTGGAGGTCTTACAACATACACATCTAGGAGTAAAATTAACCACAAATCTTTCATGGAAAGCCCATATTGTAAATATTTTTGAGAAAGCCAATAAAAAGCTTAACATGCTTAAAGGTCTTAAATATAAAATTAGCAGAGATACTTTGAGTAAGTTATATTTATCACTTATTCGTCCTGTCATGGAATATGCAGACGTATTGTGGGACAGTTGTACTGAAAGTGAAAGCGATCTTCTTGAACACATTCAGTATGAAGCAGCGAAACTCGTGACAGGGGCTATGAAAGGAACAAGCAAGCATCGTCTCATGAGAGAAGTAGGGTGGGAAAGTATGTCAACTAGAAGGAAAATTCACAAACTTACTTTATATTATAAAATTGTAAATAATTGTAGTCCCAGTTACTTAAGTGACTTACTTCCTTTTCAAGTTCGTCGGAGGACACAACATAAATTAAGAAATTGTATAGATTACTCACTCTTCGCTTGTCGAACAGAACGGTTTAGGAAAGCCTTTTTTCCTTCCACGACAATATTATGGAATAATCTGAGCAATGAGATACGTTCTACAGATTCAATTACACATTTTAAGAACAGTCTACTAAATGTATTTGACATATGTAATCCTAATCCTGTTTTAAATTTTGCAATTGATAGGCATTCTTCTATTTTCCATACTTGTTTGTGATTAGGTGTATGTGCACTAAACTTATATTTGTATGGCATAGGTTGTAAAATGTCTCCATCATGCAGGTGTGGCTATCACACTGAATCTATAAAACATTATTTTCTCTACTGTCCAATATTTGCTGCCCAAAGGTCTAAGCTGTTCTCCTCCGCTGCCGAGAAACTTCCCGAAGGGTGGTCAAGATTGAAGGATGAACAAATTATGGAAATATTTCTCTTTGGTTCTCAAATGCTGTCGTTGGAACACAACACGGCAATATTTTCTTATGTTCAGACTTATATTAAAGAAACAGCACGTTTTTATTTCAATAATTCTTGACACCTATCGTGTTAGTTTTCAAATATTAAAAACCGTGTATGCGTGACAGTGTATTTTTTAATTTCTAACGAGTAAGCCCCCTAGATGAGTGTGTACGCTCTTGGGGCAAACTCAATTTTCCAAAATATGTTTAAATAAATAAATATCATCTGCTCGGACTTGGTTACTCCGATATATCAAATACATATATAGCGTTTGGGAAAAAAATATTATATGAAACTTTTTAAGTTTCTATTAATAATATATAATGTATAATTAATTAACATTACGTTTGGCATACGAGAAATTTAAGTGCAATATTTTAATTAATTAACCAAGTTTTTGCTCTAAAACAGACTTGGAAAACCGGTTCCACTAAACTAACTCATTGAATGTCAGCCCATCAAGCCAGTGTTAATTGCGGGATTTACTATGAATTGATGGAAAGTTTTGTTTTTTACTGTGGTCAGGTTCTTCAGTCTCAATGGCACTACTACCTTGCCCGGTCGCTAACATTAATAAACCTTAATTAACAGGCAGTTTTAAAAAATAAACTCTATATTGGGCACATATTCGGTTAAAAGGCGTTTTTAGGGCTAGCTGCGTGGCAGTGCGGATTGTAAGTGGTTCAATCAGCAACTCCGGATGCCGCACATAGATGGTGCCAAAATAATTTTTAGCACTTGTGAATAATAGATAAGAACCCACACGCATGTAAAGTTAATATTACACACTCCTTATTTGATTATACCATTATACCATGTTTTGCAAACGATTCAATACTTCGCTGAAATGAATTCGTACATTAGTTGCAAATCTAGATAAATATCTTGGCTACAAGTAAATGCCCGGACAAGCGGCAACACCGGATTTGGCCACGCGACGTGTTTTAAAGAAAAAAAGAATGTATATATAGAGCAAGTAATTGAAATGGTAGTAGTCATCCCAATATTTAAAAAAAAATGTAAGCCATGACGTAAGTTATATGTCAGGGAAAATCAAAAGGTCACGCGTTGTCCAATCGCCTTCAGGAGGCCGTCGCCTAAAGGCGACATTATTGAGAATGGTTTGCACAATAACTATTATATTAAAAACAAAAAGAATTGAAGTTTGAACTGTACAAAAAAAAATGACATGCAGTATAGCCAGTAAGTCCAACTCCCATGACGCAATGATGCATGAGATAGTTGAACATAATTGAACATAGTACCTTATTATTAATAATCAAGGCATTATAGCCTATTTGCTTCAGATTAGAGGCTTTTGGAAATTGTAGATGTACACGGTTGTATTGTATACAACGGGTGTACGAAGCTTGTAAAAGGTGGGTTGTTTGGCATAATTTGAAAATTTGGAATCTCCACTGGTACTGACATTTTTTAAGGTCTTCTTTGCCACTTTCTTTAAGGCCTTTGAAATTCTGTCAAAATGGATTTGTAAGATATCAGTGTGCCAGGATGGATAATTAATATTACAGCAACTTGCCCATGATCAATGCAATCGAACTCGCACTTATATTAATATGATATATATGATTTCAAATTCTTCAAGTTTCTTGAATTTCGCAGTAATTTTTTATTTAGTTTTTAAATCCAATATTTTTTTTTTTGGGGGGGGGGGCAAAAGCTACTCTACCACCCAAAAAAAAATTATTAAAAAATAAATAAAAATTACTTTTAAATTCTTGAAACTGGAAGTATTTGAAACCATATAATATTACATATATGTATATCATTTTAATAATGTATCTACAATTCATATATGCCCTTTATAATACAACTAGTACAGTATAAGTTGTCAGCTAAATTAATTATTATTATTGTTTCAGGAAAATGAATCAGACATTCAAATTCCAATTTCAAACTCATTCTCAATTTTAGAAGATGAATTAGTAAGTTCACAGTTACTCGTGTATATATTACCCATTTCATATATATACATGTCCTTAAATTGGGGAATAGAAATTCACTAAATGGAGCGGCAAAGGCCGGTTGTATAAAAGGCGTGGTAGAGTATTTTATAATAAAGTATATATTATTTAATAGGAAATATAGTGCATTAGTGGTTAAATGAAGAGTTAAGAGTTTCATACAACCGATTGCAATGGCATGCCATTGAAATGGCACTTCATGGATAATAGTTTGTTAGCACAGAGTTTGTAGTGTTGCGTCTGACAAAGTAAACTGAACTATGTGTACAGTGATAATTAGTCCATAACTTATGCGTACAGTTGATCAATATTTTAGAATTCAATAAGTGTTCAATAGTTGGTTTTACATGTTTCCTTCCGTGCAAATAGTAACGATCAGTTACAATTTTGAGTACGTTCAACTAGCTATAATAATATTTTATTATATGTAGTGCCAAGCTAGCGATATAGAATGTGATCTACAAAGTGAAGAAAACGTTATATGGACTAATAATGTGAGTACATACATAATATTGAATAGTCGAATACATGCATATACGTAGTAATCAGGGGCGTAGCTAGACCGCTAATAGGGGGGGGGGGTGTGCATATATTTGTGTTCTGCCCGATGGATTTCTTTTGAAAATTGTTTTTTACGATATATGCATGTGAACATAAATATATGAATATACCCCTCCAATTATCCCGCAGGTAGTAATATCGAACTATAAATATATATTTTGAGATGATAATTAATTTCTACAGGTAATCGGATCTAGCATTCCAGTTGATGAACGTACATTTCTATCATCACATGCCAAGTTAGGGAGAAGGAACCGTAGAGCAAAATCTTTTAATGAAGCGGTAACAGGTTCGAAACCAAAATTTAATTTAGATGATGAATTCCCAGAATTAGGAAATGAAGAAGATACGAGTGATGGTATGTCTGATTACATAAACCAATCTAGTTCAAAAGGGAAGCCTAAACGAGATAGTATGACAGAAGAGAACGGCAGTATATATGTCCCTCCAAAATGTAAACAAGAAATGCCAATTCGTATTGATGAAAAGAATCCAACCATTACAATCGATACTGGAAAGCGAAAGAATAAAAGTTTGTTGCCAGTCCGTGCCCGTACTACAAAAAGAACAAGACGAATACCGAGAAAGTACACAACAAACAGTACTAAAAACAGTGTTTATTGCCTTTGCCAAATAGAGGATAGTGGATGGTATATAGTTTGTAGTTTTCAATATGCCGGCTGTTTGATTTATTACCATCCAAAGTGTGTCGGTCTTGGTCATTTACATTCTCGAGACGATGGTGCAAGGTACAGTAATTGTGACGATGGCAAGTCGTATATGTGTCCTTTATGCGATAAAAAAAAGAACACCGTAGGCAGACCCATGCATATCGCTACGCCATTGACCCGGAATGGAAATTTGTCTGAAGGACGTAGACAAGAAGGGACGTATAAGAATTACCGCTCCAGTTGTAGCACAAGTATGGAAACGAATGCATCGGAAGATAAAGATGAAGGTGGACTAAGCGAAAAGGAAAGCATAACATCCAATCAGAGTAATACTAATTCAGCGCAACCTTCAACATTCAAACACCTGGAAGATCACTGTGCGAACACACAACAACCCTCGCATGGTACAGATATTGGTAGTCTAGGAGATGCGTCAGACGATGATGCATATGATGACTCAAATAGATGTTTTCCCGCCAAAGAAGAAACAGAGAAGCCAAGCTGTGATGAAGGAAATGTAAGCAAAGATGCTCCAAAGATGAACAATACATATCTTCCTGAAGAAAATGATCAAATTTTCGTAGCACAAATGTTTGACGATGACGGATGGAATTCAGACAACTTCGATCGTATGGATGGATCGGACGGATGGAATTCAGACAACTTTGATCGATCTGAGCGAGTTAAACAGACGAATAACGTGACTAGTACAAACGACTTACCTGTTCCGTATGATATTCTTAGTCGGATGATGGATTGTCCAAGTTTACCATCAAGTTCATTTTTCCTTACGAGACTACCAGGAGAAGCAAAATTTCGATTAAGTGAAGATGAATGGAATAGTATTAAGCCAATTGCCAGCAAGCTAAATAAATTACAATCTTCGTGGACCAACGTAATGGCTCGACATATGGCAGAATCGAACGCTTACTGCACTTTTCATTTTCATGGACATTTCATGCAAAAAGCAAATTCTAGGAAAAGGCAGTATGTATATGCATTTAAGGCAGAAGGATTTTGCATTTTCGAAGATTATGGGTGTGATTTCGAGTTAACTATGAAAAAACAAGATTTTGAGCAAAAAATTGTGACCGTAACATATAGTGGTTCAGTAAAGCATGCAACTGGTGAAAGACATTCACGTTTCATTAAAGACAACGAACGAAATGAATTGAAACAACAGTTTCATAAAGGTCCTGACAAACCATCAATGGTATATCAAGTTAAAAAAGCAGAATTGCCAAGCGATGCCATGGCTTCAGGTAACAGAACGGGTTGTGGGGTTCAACCGACAACTATGCGGAAAATCGCAAGTGAAGGTTGTCAGCTATCTCAAATGGATAGGGACATCACTAAATCGTTGGATAAGATTAGACAAAAGCTGATAGAAAAAGAATCTTCCCGCGAACGTCCGCCCAATCCTGGACATGGTGGGTTTGTTCACATTATCGGCTACCATCCGCTAATTGTTCACATGTGGATTGAAGATCAAGTACGACTATGGCATAGTAGATGCGGCGATGATATATCGTATTTGGATGCAACAGGAACAATAGTTGCGAATTACAATGGCAAAAGAGTTTTATATTACGGCCTAGTGGTCCGACACCCAAATGAAGAAGATCCTGCAGTAGCAGTGGCAGAAATGATTACGAGCGATCATAGCTCTGGCAATATATGTGCGTTTATCGAGAGATTTAGGTGCGACGAGTCCAGAATATATAGCGGACGGTTAACTTCGCCAAGGCAATTGAATACAGATTATTCCAGGGCAATATTGCTGGCAGTGCTCAAGGAATTCAACAACGAAACATTAGAAACATTTCTTCAACGAGCTTTTCGCATCATAAACAAGAGAGGAACGACAAGAGATTACGAGCTCACAATTCCACATGTAGGATGCAGTCATTTCATGCATATAGCACACAGGAAGATCAAACAATTGGCACGTTCTACGGAGAACGAATGGTATCGCAATAGCATGTATTCCGTGTCTTTATTAGTGAATGCGCGAACATTACACAAATTTGTCACTATTCTGGAAGATACAGTTGTATGTCTATCTTGTAAGAAGCAAACTAAAATGTGTTTGGTCTCGTTCCGTAAACATTCAGGGCGTTTGAACCACATGGAGAAAGAATCTAATATAAATCTTAAGGATTTTGAAACAGAGAAGGAAAGTGTGACTAAGCAAAACCAAGAAGATGACATTGAGAATGAGACAAAACCTGGAAACCCCTTAGTTGACTATTTCGAGACGAAGTTAAGTGACATAGAGAAACGTGTTGAGAAAGATAGTATGCAGGCACCCGATGCATTAGCAGATAATAGAAGCTACTCCCCGCAATTCTTGACATTTATCAAAAAGTACCTCACAGAAATGCCATTATGGTCAGGCGTATTATTAGGAAGATTGGATCGATACAGAAAAGATCCTTGTACAACTAAAGAAAGGGAAGTTAATAATTTTCTATCATTTTCATCCGCTAACACTAAATCAGAAGGTTATATAGAAGGTGCAATGAGAAATCTTAAACAAGAAGACTTTAGCGGAAGAAAACGTCTTAGAGCAGATACTTTCGTTCATGAAAATTACTCACGAATAAGAAGACGTTTACGTGACTATGGTGATAGATTACACAGTCGTCTTAAGCCCAAAAGAAAGAGAGCGTACAAGAAGAAGGAAAGAAGGAAGATAGTGACGGCAATCTTTCCAGCACAGTTGAAAGCATCAGTTCACGGAAGAAAACTATCATGATGCCCAAGAAAAATGGGGTAAGAAAGATCCAGAAACTCCAAAACATAATCCAAGACTTGGGCAATTCCAACAATCTCCAAAGATACCGTTGAGTAGTAAACCAGACTTTAAAAAGGGAAAGTCTAAAAGAAAGATTCATCCATCATGTTCTGAAACACATAGAAAACCTAATCAAAGAGTGAACGCATGTAGTTATGATGAACAGAAACCTGACAAAATGCCTTCTAAAATTAATACGGGTGTGTCATCAGAGCAGGAAAATGCAAGCAGAGGAGTAAAATGTGCTCCTAAACCTGTTCTCAAAAATGAAGGTCCAGCTAAATCCAGATTAACAAGGAAGGAGAAAACCGAAAATGGGAAAAAATGGACAGAGTGTATATACATACACGACGGAGATGAAGAAGATAATGCTGAGAGGGATATTAGTACAAAACGTAATCTTTCCAGCACGGATGAAAGCATCAATTCACGAAATGAAAACAGTCATGATGCCGAAGAAAAATTGGGTAAGAAAGATCCAGGAATGCCAAAACAGAATCCAATAGTTGGACAATTCCAACAATTCCCAACGATACCGTTGAGCACTAAACCAGACTTTGAAAAGATTAAGTCGAAAAGAAGTGTTCATCCAGCTGGTTCCGAATCACATATAAAAAAAACAAAAAAAGTGAACGCATGTAGTTATAATGAACAGAAACCTGGAAAAATGTCTTCTAAGATGAATACTAGTGTGTCATCAGAGCAGGAAAATGCAAGCAGAGTGGTAAATTGTACTCGTAAAACTGTTCTCAAAAGTAAAGGTCCACCTAAATCAAGATTGACAAGGAGGGAGAGAATCGAAAATAGGAAGAAATGTACTGAGTGGATATACAAACACGACGGAGATGAAGAAGATAATGATAGGAGAGACATTAATACAAAACGTAAAAGTTCCACTCAATCCTCGATTAAATCAAAAAGAAAAAAGCTTAACAAATTAATAAACAGTTTTGATGATGAAGATGATTATCTAGAAAAGTTCGTGGGATTGTGAAACAAACGAAACGATTGTTGGCTAAACACTCTTGTACAGTGCATGAACTCCATACCCCTCCGTATTGGCATGTTGGATAACATTAAAAAAAATACAAAATGTAAGGTCACATCGGCATTAATTAAAGTCATTAGCAAAATGTTGTATGTTCTAAATGGCTCGTTTTATCCATATGAACTCCACAAAGCCATCGAAGATGAGTACAAGTTAGTTCCTGGTGAACAACAAGATATACACGAAATCTTTACAAGACTTTGTTCATCAGGGACCCAAAACATGAACGATTTCATTGCCATACATTTTCAAAGCGGTTGTCAGTTTACGAAAACATGCAGAGAATGTGTTAAGCACGATGATCTCCCACCAGAAACACGTACAACCATCATTGTGCCTGTCTTAAATGGCATACAAGATTTGGAAAGGAGCATCGTACATTCTATGAACGATGATCACGTTCCTATTCAATGTAGCTCTTGCGCAAAAGTTACTGTGAATAAACTTTCAGGGAAATTTGTATTTCTACCTCAAACATTAGTCATAGGATTTAATAGATTTCAACAGAAAAGTGGAATCACAAAGAAGAACCACTCAAGAGTACAGTTACCACTGGAACTTCATGTGGTAGGAAACATGCCATGCCAATACAGTCTTAAAGCATGCGCCCTACATCATGGGATGCACATTCACAATGGACATTACACAGCAGTTATTTTCGACAATGATAAGATTATAGAAATCGACGATCACATTGTCAAAGATGTGACTGATGGTTGGATATCTAACGTACAATCTACAGTGTATTTGGCATTTTATACCAAGAAGTAGACTACGCAATTAGATTATTCTCCTAATTCTGACAATTCCCCTCATTCTGACAATGACGATAACTAGGGATCCAAGGATAGTGCAGAGTTTCAAAGACAAACGCTATAAGGCATGCTTATTAATTGAATAGCTTTTCAAGCGTGGTTTATAGCCTTAATCACATGTCGTAATAGCGCGGGGAACTGTTACAACAGTAAAAATGCTAAGATCTGGTTTAAATATAATACTTTAAGGTTGAAGAATAACGAGAGTTATGCAATATTATTTATTTCCCCATATAATATTATAGTGACAAGGCATAATTTCTGTTATGTTGTAAAGTTTGAAATTGAAAGACACTGCAAGGATTATATAGGATCGCCGACAACCTAGAAAAGCTGATGGGTTACACTACGAAATAAACAATTATCATAGGCATTTCATCTCATTATCTATTGTTTTTAATGCGTTCGGCACACGAGTAACCCGACGTTTAAAACAAGCCTAACACATCAGAAACGTCGTGCTTCGTGGAACTGACACAATTTATTGGAGCTGTCGCCAAGTATCCCCACAAGGCTACTGATGCGCTAAACTTATTTCAAAAACTCATTAATAATTCAGGAGCAAAACACAAAGAAAAATCATAAGCGTGTCGTGGTTTTATATGTGATAAAAAATCATGTTAATTTACATAAACTGTAGCTTTGATTTTCTCGGTTTAGACAAAGCTTATTTTAAAAATTACTTCGCCAATGAACTTGTATAAGATGAGTCATTTTTGAAGCTATTTAAAGCACTTGTAGTCGTGTTTTATCACATATAAAACACTCCGCTACGCGTCGTGTTTTATATGTGATAAAACACTCCTACGCGTGCTTTAAATAGTACTTAAATCTATGATTATTGCCAATGCCATCATCGTTTTAGCGCCCATATTGTACATTTGTCTATTGTCCCAGTCACAACTTTAATTCCAATAGCTGTATAAGATATGTTATGAATAATTAATAAGCACTACGACGTTGTGTTCCATGACAAAAAAAAAACATAAATCTAAAACACGGAAACGTAAAAAAAGAGGATTTATCCAAGTCCGTTCCGTTCCGCATTTTATCTCCATATCCGTTCCGTGGATCCGCTCCGTTTCGCATCCGCTTCCGCATTTTAACCTAGTTGTGACGTGTCACAATAACAAGCTCACTGACCTTTGAGTTATTTGAAGGTCACGTTGTGTTCATGATTCATTTTCAGCTTTTCGCATGTAATCAATATTTCAATGGTTTCACAGTTATAGCAGTGTTTGTAGCAGTTTTGACAAGCTTTGATACAGATAGATTCTCGTAAGATCTGGTAGAGTTCTCGTTGCACTGAAGTCTGAACACGAGTTTGCACCGTTGACGTTGTGCTAGACACGTAAACCAAGATTTTCTCAATATTTATGTTTGAAATGTTTATACATTTGAAAGCAACACTGTCTCGCTGCTTCCTAGCTCTGCACAATGAATATACCGTCAAACTAATATCGGCACTTGAATGCATTACGTGCATAACATTAATTTACATATTGCGTAGTATCTCAAAGATTTTCTCAATATAATACACGTCTGAAATGTTTATACATTTGAAAACAACGCTGTCTCGCTGCTTCCTAGCTCTGTACAATGAATATACCGTCAAACTAATATCGGCACTTGAATGCATTACGTGCATAACATCAATTTACATATTGCGTAGTATCTCAAAGAAAATCTCAATATAATACACGTCTGAAATGTTTATACATTTCGAAACAACACTTGTCTCGCTGCTTCGCCTAGCTCTGTACAATGAATATAAGTAATATCGGTACTTAATTGAATGCCTGTAATGCAAAACATCGATTTTATATATTGCGTAGTATCTCAAAGATTTTCTCAATATAATTTAGACGTCTGAAATGTTTATACATTTGAAAACAACACTGTCTCGCTGCTTCCTAGCTCTGTACAATAAATATACCCTCCAAATAATATCGGCACTTGAATGCCCGTAAATCGTAATGCATAAGTACATAACATCAATTTATATATTGCGTAGTATCTCAAAGATTTTCTCAATATAATACTGACACGTCTGAAATGTTTATAATTATACATTTGAAAACAACACTGTCTCGCTGCTTCCCAGCTCTGTACAGTGAATATATACCGTCAAACTAATATCGACACTTGAATGCCCGTAATGTATAGCATCAATTTATATATTGCGTTGCGTTGTATCTCAAAGATTTTCTCAATATAATATACGTCTGAAATGTTTATATATACATTTGAAAACAACCATGTCTCGCTGCTTCCTAGCTCTGTACAATGAATATACCCTCAAAATAATATCGATCTTTAATTGAATGTCCGTAATGCATAACATCGATTTATATATTGCGTAGATTCTCAAAGATTTACTCAATATTCACATCTAAAATGTTTATAATTTGAAAACAACACTGTGTCGCTCCAGCGCTCCTTCCTAGCATCATCACGCCATCGTGATCTACGGCTTGATAGCGCATGCGCATTTGTGTTGCTAAAGAAAAAAATGGGTTTTCCGGGGGAAAGATCCTTCACACAACATGAGAAGCGAATGTTATAAAATTTACAAAAAATTAAAATAACGACAACGATTCCTCGAAATTTTTGTGAACTTGGCAAAAGAACAAAAAATATTTAAATAAAACAACTGAAATTGCCTAAATGACCTTCAAAGCACAATAAATCACTACAAACATAAATCGTATACACATAATACACCCCCCGGAAAGTTAACTCTATGACTGATTGACTGACTGACTGATGTGAATTTTCCCAGTCATCACAATAGTGCACAGTTTCAAAGAAACTCTGCACTAAAAATTACTACTTATTTACAGAAATAGTTACTTTAAATGTTCATTAATTCGGGATTTGTCCATTCTTTATTTCTACAGCAAAATATGTAGTACGTTGATCGGATGGCAATAGATATAATTTTTCTGATACAATATTGTTGGTGTTGATTATCCAGTCCTAACTCATTTAGCATTTTTACGAATGTATGACATTCTTTGTCAAACACCCCTAGCGAACTGACAGAAAGATTTATAAATTTGACAGATGTAAAGTTTTGATCCAGTTCTCTAATTAGGTTTTTATATTTAGCTTTCTTGCGGTTAACATTGTTTGTGAGGTTTGATTCAAAGCCTACGGTAAGTTCAACGACGTAGAGATGTTTGTCTGAAGTGGAGACAAGTAAATCAGGACGATATTCATCTCCCGTAATAATCGAGGGGCTTTCAAATCCAGGAAGATCAACATGTAATTTGCATTCGTTTAAACTTTATAATAATAATAATCATAATAATAATAATAATGATAATAATAATAATATTAATAATAATAATTTTTTAATAATACAACTTTATTCATCATTTCATTATATACAACAATGCTTTTGTTATCAATGACTATATTATATAATCTGTTCTTTGGGTATAATTAAAAAAGTGTCTAAATGTTTGTTGATATGGACATGTTAAATTTTAAAAGCAAACTCTGGAACAAATACCGCTACATAATTAAAATATTTACCGCTAAGTAGCTAAATAACTAAACTAACATATTCCGCTAAATAACTAAACAATTAAACTTTGTATATTGTATATTGTACAATCTAAATTGTTTGAGAGATAGCACTCTCCGCGTTCTCAATGTTAAAATCAATGTTCCTAATATCATACATCATTTTCCTTGCCCTTGAACCCCTCAAGCAGGTAAGTGCCAATCTCAATAAAGCGAATGAGGTTCTGGCTCTTATCCAACTCATAGTTGTCGCATAATCTTCTCCTTTCTTTATGGCTACCAACTCTGCCAATCGACTATGGTATCTCACACATTCTTTGCCCATACCGCCTGTGGTGGTGAATACGAGTGGCGTAAATGTTCCTTGCTCTATTTCGAGGACTCTCCTTGCATATAGGCGCTTCTTCTCGTTTTCGTGTATCTTGTAGACTTGGCGTAGCTCCAGGTCCTTGTACGAATCAGCATTGGGATGACAAACCCTTACATCAAAAAAGGCTGATCGTTGACTTTCCCAGAACCCACGCGCACGAATGTCGAGTCTAGCATCAGGTGCTCTGTTGGAGCCTCCATTTAGTTGCTCTTCCGAGATGATGATGATGATGATGATGATGATGATAAACTTTATTTAAAAATCACACGCTAGCCTCGTCAACTTTCGCTGATTTCCACGAGGGGCGTGTCAATTACATTATAAATAGTAACAAACATTAAAAATGAACATATTTACAATAGTCAACCTAATATTATACCATAATAATTATATTTACATTATATTATAAGAAATTGTGAGCACTAATTCGACTTTTAAATATTGGCAAGGTAGCCGAATCACGCAAATCTTCAGGTAAGGAATTCCACAATTTCGCCCCATCGTAAGAAAAACTTTTCTTAATATTTTCAGTCCTGGGAAAAGGGATTTGCAGTGATGTAGAGGAACCCCTAAGCTCGTAATCTGTGACATCACTTTTACGCATAAAAAGATTAACAAGTGCATTTGGGGACAAATCATTTAAAACTTTGTACATTTGTACTGCTTTAGACTTAGCTCGTCGAGACTCAAGAGTTTCCCACCCTAAGGCAGTAATTGCTTCTAATCCAGGGGTATCATTTGTCATACTCATTACTATTCTCGCCGCTCTATTCTGCAGTTTTTGAAGTCGAGTTGAAAGGCCAATGCCCAAGGTATCCCATACCTCACTGCAATAATCGAAATGAGGGCGAACTAAAGCATTGTAGATAGAGATCAAGGTTTCCCTATCGACAAAGTCACGTATTCTTCTTAAAGCTTCTACACCGGAAGCAACCCTCTTGGCCACGCTTTCAACATGCTTGTTCCAAGACAATTTTTCATCAATTTGAACCCCAAGTAATCTACTATGATAAACTTGCTTAATTTTGTCTTGATCTATTTTTATATTTGGTTGATTAGTAAGGTTCGTTAATCTATGATTTGAACCAATAAGTATAAATTCGGTTTTTGAAGCATTGAGACTCAGTTTGTTGGCTAAAAGCCAGGTATGTACACTAAGGAGATCATTATTCATGGCCAACTCAACTTCCTCTATTGACTCACCAGCTACCGTAAGATTGGTGTCATCGGCAAATAGCCGAGGGGCAGCTTGCTGAAGACATTCTGGAAGATCATTTATATATAAGAGGAAGAGAAGTGGACCAAGGATGGATCCCTGTGGAATACCGCATGTCACATGCCGCTCAGATGACATTACGTCTCCCAGTTGGCATTTCTGTTTTCGATCAGACAAGTATGATTGTATCATGGTTAAGGCACTGTCATTGATACAGTATAGCTCAAGTTTTCGCACCAAAATATCATGGTTTACAGTATCAAAGGCCTTTTTTAAATCCAATAATACAACCAGATTAAACATTTTGCGGTCCATATTAACGTACCAACTGTTCGTGCAATCCAAAAGAGCCGAAGCAGTTGAATGAGATTTGCGGAAACCAAATTGGTGTTCAGAAAGGATCGAATTGTCGTTAAGATATTCGTAGATCTGATCATACATAATTCTTTCCATAACTTTACTTATTGCAGATAAGATTGAGATTGGCCTATAGTTTTCTGGGAGATCTCGTGGACCCTTTTTATGAAGTGATAGAAGTCTAGCAGCTTTCCATTCATATGGAAAACAGCTTGTTATGATAGCATGATTAAAGATGTGTGTGAGTGATAAGGCAATAGTAGGGGCTGCAGTTTTTAAGATCTTTCCAGATATTTTATCAAGACCAGTTGCTTTCGAATTGGATAAACCATTTAGAAGCTTGACTACTTTAGTATGTGAAACTAACTTAAAGCGTGTCATTTTTGATGTAGCTGGTTTGACGAAACGATCAAACGTAATGTCAGTATCATCAATAGAACTAGCTAAGTTAGGGCCAATGTCAGTAAAATATGTATTAAAAGCATTGGCAATTTCTTCAAGTGAAGTAATTTTTGTATCATTAAATTTTAATTCATTAACAACAGTATTACCTGGAGAACGACCGAGTAAGTTATTGATTGTCTTCCAAGCCTCTTTTGGATTATTATTTTGATTTGATATTTTAGTATGAAAATAATCTGTTTTAGCTTGTCGTAGGGCAATATTGACCTTATTCCTAGTTGATTTGTACTTATCCCAAGCAGGATGGATGCCTTGTAGGACAGGCTCAACTTGGACTTCACTACAGACAATGTTGAGGAGTTCCGCTTCCAGATCTCTTAACTCATTGTGGCGCATAATTACAAAGCCTCCACGTTTGCAGATCATGGCATGGTCAACGGTGAATAATATCCCCACATACACATATGGAGGGGATGTCGTCGATTGGCCAATCATAGCGCAGCTTTACGGCGTCCCGAAATTCTCTCTTATTCAAGTTGAATCCCTGTTCTTTTAGGGGAAGTGCTGTGAGCCACACAGATGATCCTTTTTCGGAAGCCACATCTAATATACGCTGAATTCTTGGTGGTGCACTCTCTCTAATACGTTCTGCCCTCTCCTCCCACTCTTGCACTCTTTCTTTTCTAACGGCTTGTTGCGCTGATTTTATATGCGACTCGTCGGGTAGCTGATGTAACTGCGCTACAATCTGATCAACAAGGGGTGCTGTCACTCTTTTTGACGACACATACTGACGTTCTGCCTCATGACTTGGATTTTCCAAGGCCAGGCCACCCAGACGTGCTGGAAGTGCTAGAAAGTCCCGATCGAGTGGATTGCACTGGTGATCTGTGATAGCGGGGATGAGAATCTGCGATATTGCCTTTTCGAGTGGCTCTAGTAGGTCCTGGATGTCTTGCAGGGTTCTTAGGAAGTAGGTCCAACGATGTTTCAAACCAAATGTGTATGCGGCATAGGACGCTTGTGGTTGGGACAGTGCAAATTCGGCTAATGCTGTCACTTCGTTGACCCAATTAGAGACCTTCTCATTAACATAATTCCTCCAGATACTCTCGTGAACCTAGCGCTGCTCCCAGATGTTTCTGCCCATGCACTGTTACATCTTTGCCGCCAACAATAAACAGCCGAGCTGACTGTCTGTAGGTGTTTATAGCGTAGACAGCGATTATCGGATATACTACACACGGATGTTATGCAGAGCCACAGTTCTGTTGAGTGCATTGAATGCATTAGAAGCATCGATAAGTAAAACAGCATCAATGTCATCAGCTTCAAACAGGGTGTTCATTGCATGTATTGCAGCCTCACTTCCAGACTTTTGCCCAGCGCATAATTGTAACGATCCACTTGCTTCCACAACGTCCTTCTTTGCAAAGCTTATAACACATTTTGCACTTATCCTTCTTATTACCTCTCCTACTCCAATAGGTCTTACCGCACCTTCGCCTTTGTCTAGGGGAATTAAACGACTAGCAATCAATGCTTCAATAGTGGTAGGATCGATATATTGTGTGCACAAAGTCTTGGTCATTCTGGCTATAACTTCGCACAGTCTTGTAGATGATTGCTTAAAGGACTTACATGCCAACATTCTTCTAAAGCCGTTAGCATCGACACCAGACGGGCCTCCGGATCCCTTTGTTCTCAAAGCGGCTTGTCTAACCATCTCACCATTGATCTGTGAGTAAACAGATTCGGGTATCTCGTCATTGAGCGGCCCAAATAATACCGATCCTAGTTTTGCTGGTTGTGGCTCAGGATGCTTCTGTTTTAATTGCATCATTACATCGTCAGTTAACGTTAACACTACGCCATTTGAGGTTTCACTCAGGAAGCGAAGGGCTGAGTTGATTTGACCTTCTAGCACAAGCTTAGCAAAGACTTTAGCTTTATCAGGGTGGTTTGATCCTTTAAATTTTCCAATACGACTTTGTATGATTCGTCCCTCACGTATTAGCTTACTGATCTCACCGTCCTTCCAAAGTGCAAGTCGCTTTGACAAGGCATCTTGATGGTCCTTTGCCTTGGACTTCGGGTTTGGCTTTTGAAGCCCAACGGCGAGAAGTACAAAAACAGCTTTTAGGGAAACATGTTGATTTTCCGAACCGCTATTCCAGTCGTTTATATGCATCGTTATCTGATCGATAAATCCCTTCCTATTTTCCCGTATGGCACTAGAAAAACATTCTTTTTCCAAGTTGTAATTTCATCATATGCATCTGTAATGTCTGAAGTCGATATAACTATTGTTCGTCCATCGCCTCGCTTCCCCCAATTAATCATAGGTGGTTTATTTACATTATTATACTCCGGAAGACAGCCCGAGATAATTGCATTATCTTCGTTCTGGTCGAGTGCTCCAGGAATTTCATGTTGCCTATTATGCAAATCGTGGCGGGTTGTTGTTTGCAATTCATTCGTTTGATTTGTATACTGCGATTCATCAATCAAGGCGGCATCTTTCGCCGATATATCGAAACCGTTTGAGCCCTCTCCCGTTTGCGAATCCCGTATTAAATTGTCCTTATTCAACTCCCGTAAATTGCTTTGGTTTATAGCAACAGAATCTCTTGATACGTTTCTCGAGTCCCCCGGCTCCAAAGATTTATCCAGCCTTGCAGCTTGATCACGCAAATTCTGCATTGAGAAGCCAAAATCATCATATCCTTTCGCATCCCATAGCTCCTTCATGAGTTTAATATAGCCTTTTTTTGCTATTTCCATCCAACGGTGGTTGTTCCATTTGTGTCATTGCCACAGCCTCGCGTTTGCAACTCCAAAAATCCTCGTTCATTTGATCTGTCCATTTACGCCTGTGTTTATATTGCCTTCGATTAGCCATATTGACTTGCTATCGCTGACATAGAGTTTCACAAAATCGTTTAAACTATTGCCTTTCTGAGTTCGTCTGTTCGAATTTGTCTCGTTTACACAGCAAGCTGGATTTTGTGCAGGAATTTCAACAACAAGAAAATAGTATAAAGTCGTATTTTCGTTTATAAAACACAGACGTTTCTTCCTGACGTGTAGCATGTGGCCGCCATCGCTAATCATAATAATAATAATAATAATAATAATAATAATAATAATAATAATAATAATAATAATAATAATAATAATAATAATAATAATAATAATAATAATAATAATAATAATAATAATAATAATAATAATAATAATAATAATAATAATAATAATAATAATAATAATGATAATAATAATAATAATAATAATAATAATAATAATAATGATAATGATAATAATAATAATAATAATAATAATAATAATAATAATAATAATAATAATGGAAACTTTATTGAAATTATATACGTATATATACAATTATAAATCTCACTAATTTAGGTAATTTATAATTGACTACTTGAACCTACTTAATATTTATATATTAATAATGAGTATCCTTAAATGTTCAGTAATTCCGGATTTAACCAGTCCTTATCTCTGCAACAAAATATATAATATGTTGTCCTAATCGCGATAGACATAATTTTCCTGATAGCGAAATATTGGTGTCTTTTATCAAGACCTAGATCAGTTAACATATCTAAAAAGGAATGACATTCTTTTGAGAAAACGCCTAAAGAACTAATTGACAAATTTACAAATTTTACGGACTTAAATTGTTTCTTTTGCTGTGTAATGAGATCTTCGTATCTTCTTCTTTTCCGATCAACATTTCAACATTTTTTTTATCAACATTTTTCCCATCAACATAATAATAATAATAATAATAATAATAATAATAATAATTTTTTTTAAACAACAGAAATCTTTATTAATAACATGATAATTTATACAAATATATCACATAATTAGACTTTCAATTAAATCAGGAAAATAGAGAAACAGTTCACTATATTAGACAGATAGGTCCATTCTCTACACTTTGTATCAATAGTAGCTAATAAAAATTCAGTACGTCTGGGTTATTCCACGGCTTGTTTCTTCTGCAGTAAATGTAGAATGTTGCTCTCAGAGCTACCTCCATACATTTTTTAATAATACGTTCGTCGTTCATTTCAAGTGTTCGTAATAATCTACGAAATCTGTCAATATCTTTCGACACAAACCCTAGAGTGGTTACTTCAAGTGTAATAACTTCAAACGCATAACACGCCGTGATCAGCTCAGATCTTAGATGTCTGTATCTTTCTTTCTTGCGACGTTTAGCCTTCGTACAATTGGTTTCGTAGGGAACAGTTAATTCAACCACATATATAGAACCCTTAAAATCCACCACTATATCAGGTCTTAGCGTTCGAAATAAAGTTGAAGTACAGGTCGTACCTGAATTAGGACAGTCAGCAAACAGTCGAAGATCTGCACCAACTGCGACTTTTAAGTGATGAATAATAGTCATCAGAATCGAGTCATGCCGCCAAGTATAGCGTTGTTGTTCTAGGGCTACCTTGCAGTTGGAAAACACGTGTAGCTGGGTTTGTAACTTGTTGCACAGCTCACAGTTGGCGGAGTCACGAATGTTCCAGCGCTTTAGGTTAGAATTATTTCCTAAACTTAAAATTAACGCTCTCCTAGCAAAGCATACTATATTGCTTGGCATTCGAGTGACAATTTCGTGCCATACTTTAATCATCTTCTTATAGCAAGTATCAGTTAAGCAGGTAATGATCACGGATTGTTCTTTTAGTTCTACAAAGTTTGACCAAATTTCGTTAAGGTTTTTCTTTACCAGAATCTTCTTTGCAGCGTTTCTTAACATATATTGTTCAGAGATACTAGCAGCCGCCCGTTCAATAATATCATCAGTGACGATGTTTTTTGATGACGTTTTGGTATATAGCTGTTGAATATCGGAGTTGACAGAAGTCCTCAAGATTCTGCGCACTGTCAGTTTACATTGAGTATATATGTCAGAGGGGGAACAGAAATCATGACTAATGTTACGGCTGATTGGGATCTGGAGCCATTTCCGGATATATTTGGAAATTATAGAGTCCAGATTAGAATGTATCCAGCTTATAGTAAGCGAGTAGATTGAAAAACGCCAGAAGAACTTTGAGTAGACATAACTTTGAACCACGCGTATTTTGGAAAATGGATTTATTGGGATAAGATCAATTTTCTTTAAGTAGTGTTGGATTTCATCAAGAATCTCAATTTTGGTTTC